GAGTCTATATGACTGTACACGGCTGTAGTGACGTTATAAGTCTATATAACTATACACGGCTGTAGAGTCTATATAACTTTACACGGCTGTAGTGACGTTATAAGTCTATATAACTATACACGGCTGTAGTGACGTTATAAGTCTATATTACTATACACGGCCGTAGAAACGTTATAAGTCTATATAAATATACACGGCCGTAGAAACGTTTTAAGTCTATATAATTGTACACGGCTGTAGTGACGTTATAAGTCTATATAACTATACACGGCTGTAGTGACGTTATAAGTCTATTTAACTATACACGGCTGTAGTGACGTTTTAAGTCTATATAACTGTACACGGTTGTAGTGACGTTATAAGTCTATATAACTATACACGGCTGTAGTGACGTTATAAGTCTTTATAACTATACACGGCTGTAGTGACGTTTTAAGTCTATATAACTGTACACGGTTGTAGTGACGTTATAAGTCTATATAACTATACACAACTGTAGAGTCTATATGACTGTACACGGCTGTAGTGACGTTATAAGTCTATATAACTATACACGGCTGTAGTGACGTTATAAGTCTATATAACTATACACGGCTGTAGTGACGTTATAAGTCTATTCAACTATACACTACTGTAGTGACGTTATAAGTCTATATGACTGTACACGGCTGTAGTGACGTTATAAGTCTATATAACTATACACGGCTGTAGAGACGTTATAAGTATATATAACTATCCACGACTGTAGTGACGTCGTCTGCCTATTGTACAACTCTAGTATTTTAATGAGGTCGATACAAGGTAAGATTAACCTAGAGAAAAACTAAATCAATATTTGTTCTTTCGTTAGTTTAACAATGTCTCACACGGAATTGAAATGTTGTCATTCCTTATTATTTCCCTTTGTTTTGTTGGTGGGTAGAGAGATATCTGATCTACTATACCGTTCATTTAAGTTGGGAAAACACTCATAAAAATTTATCATTGTACTTGTTAAAAGGAATGTAAAGTTGATATGACTTAACAGATACACTAAGAACTGGAAAATGATTCACCATAAATATGCATACCTGTAGTGATGGGTCATTTTAACAAAATATTCTCACGCTAAAACCTTACCGTGACAAACCGACAAACCCCAATAACCGCATACCGGTACAGCCTTGTGTAGCTGTAATGTCACAGTATCCTTGATATCCTGTGTGTTGGTGGCGATTACATCACGAATAGAATTGTTTTAACTTATTTACATTATAATTATTGTACAGAATAATATTTGCATACTGTAAATGGAGTTTATCGTGTGCTGTTGTGTACGGAGTTAACACAGTAGAACGGGGACTGGTTCTCGCTCAATAAATCTTCATCAGGTATGTTAGTACAATGTCATTTTCTCATTTACAACCGGAAAATTGTTTCATAAATGCGTTTCAACAGTCTTTTAAAATCAATAAGTGTTTTTATGTAGTTTGCAGTTATACAATGGTCCACCAGGAAATGACACATGCTTTTTGTATAGCACCTTACGTAAGTTTCTACTTCATAACTCGACAAGCGTCTGGAAGAAAAAAAAGAGGGGGATTTGATTGATAAGTTGTGAGCATTGTATTGAACAAGTTAAGCATGTCTGTCCTTTTTCAGCTCTACTATTCCCTGACTGTTTATGTCTGTGTACCCGAAGACTGGTGTCATTTGATCAGTTTATATCGAAGGGGTAGAACTTTTAAGTACACAAGGCAAAGGAGCATGAATTTAATGTTTACATAAGAAAGACCTAGGACCTAGGGATATCCATACTGATATGGTAGCAACATTAGGGAACAATATCCCTTCACATGCTACAGTGTAAAGGTAGCGGAATTTAAGCGTGGCAGGAGGAGCCTTGAGGACGACACCCGTCCTGGAGGGCCTGTCACTGTTGCAACCCCTGAAATGACCAATAAAGTACATGATATTGTTACAGCAGACAGGCGAGTTGTGTATGTTTCCTTTGATCCCTAGTTGTGCCTGTTTGACTTTGGTACTGATCAGAAAAAGGAAATGGCCAAAAGACGGCCATAATGGATTTTTATTTTGAAAGATTGTTATCGCTACGTCTTTAGAAATACGGCATAGATATTTCTCAAATTCCATGTACAGGTTCCTCTTTGTCTCTAGTTCTTCCTGTTTGAGTTTGGGACTGATCAGAAAAAACAAATTAGCCGAGAGGCAGCCTTCTTTGATTTGGCAGGTAAAGATTATCATCGCTATTTCTGCAAAAGAATGTTCACATTTCTTATCATTAAGAGCAAAAACAGAGAAGAGAAGAGAAATGAGGCGAAAGATCCCACTTTCAAAAAGCAAATAAAGATCAAACAATGGTGGGCGCTAAGATCCCTCCGGGATCTCTATTTTTTTAAAGTATGTATAATCGCTCGATTTCCAACCCGATATTCTCTGTATTGTGATTGGTTAAGACGATCATAACATGAAAGAAGAATTTTAAAGATTGGTCTGTTTCATATTTGTTGTCAGCTTTCCTATTTTATTACTTATGTTATGATCACACGTGCAATAACACGTGATTTGGTGATGGCTCTCATTAATTCGAATGTGACACCAAAACAATATGGCGTCATATACATTGTGACGACATAGATTTTTGACAACTCCCTAAACAGAGTTAATCGGTTGGAATGAAAATACACAGGATAGCTAGGTTTCGTTAGGTGTTATACATCAATTGTTTCCAGAACCTTAAACACGGACAGTGAAAGGAGGGTATTTTCCAATTTTGTTTGAACCTGATATACATGTTTATGGGTTTTGAAGAATGGTAATTACAACGGTAATATTGTCCAAAACATCATATGCATTTGGTTGCCATGGTAACCAAATAAGATCTATGATTTAAGGGATCTTGTCCAGACATCTCTTAGACTTGAAAAAATTAAGAAATTAACAAAAATGTTATTAGCCATTTGTAGATGTGAACGCATTTTTAATTGGTTGCCTTGGTAATCGGGTTACCCTTCAAATTTATCCGTGTATTGTCCGATTCTTCATATGTCCTTGGAACAATTTTATTAAAGCTTTGTCGAATTGTGTTACTTATAAAAGTCCACAATTTGACACATCATATTTCCAGAATCGTTGCCATGGAAACACAATTAAGGTTCCATTGTCCGAGTTGAGGTAATATCTGATTAAGCTGTATATATTGCATGGCGAGTACTTGGGAACTATTTTCCAAAACCTTGCTTTTTCTTTGGTTGTAATGGTAGACATACGAAGACTTATGACTGGAGAAAATATTTTCATAATTATTACTCTTAACCCTGAGAGTGGTGAACTGAATTTAAATGAAGCAATAAAAGGGAAAACAAGGAACCATACCGAGATGTGCACGTATTGTTTATGGCCCATGCAACGTATAACAAGAGAATGATACATGTCTAGAAAAAGCCAAGGTCATATATAAAACGTTTGTGTCACTGGGACTGAAACTTAAACAAATGATGTGTAAAATTTGTACATCTGCGGACGTATTAGCTATCACCAAGATAACCTTCCTGTTATACCAGTCTTCAAAAATGTCGTTACACGATACAAAAAAAAGTTTTTATGTTATATGAAATAAATTTTACACTTGATTCTTGAAATTCGTTACGAGTTTCCATTCATTCTACCGGGCCAGAAGCTCGGTAAAATTGTATTTTTTATTTTTATTTCGAGTATCTACATGAACCAATCTTTTCTATGTAATGTGCAACTTATGGATCTAATTGAAAACTTGAAAAACCTTCGTTTAAGTTAATGGTAAAGTTTGAATTAATTATCTTCTGTAACGTAAATGTCAGCTCGCATTATGATATCCTGTTAATGGAAGGACAGACTTCCCCGTGTTACCTTAATCACTGAGACCATCAAGTCTATTGTCATTAATGTCGATCTTTCAAATTACATTTTAATTTCAGGAAATAAGAATACGTGGACATTGTGAAATTGTAAAATAAATCCCTATTTAAACTGACATATATTATTCAGTTTGCTCGAGTTCAATCGTCGTTATTGGATAACGTAAACAGAATGTTAAATACACCAGTGCGTAATATAATGTACGTCAATGTGTCCATGAATTGTCAATGTATGTAACACGCCAACAATTACCCTGTGTTATATATACTTTAGGGGAAATTATTTCTTCAATAACGACACAGGAGAATTCCCTCGGGCTTCCGCCGCTAGGTGCCATCTATGTCATGTATTATTGATCAAACTTTAGAAATGTCAGTCGTTTGTTACATCACTGTTTTATATCTATTGATTAGAAGAAACATATGTTTTGCGCGCACGTGTGAACGTAATGGTAATTATCGATTGGTAACACACTTCCGTGAATTATAGATGTATATATATATGTACAAAATGCATTCACATCGTGTATCATGCATAATCTGTTACAGGGGAGGTAACTTATCACAAAATGACCTGAGATGATTAAGCAGTTCGTGCTATCTGTCCTATTCATGTCTGTGACCATGGAGTTAATTAACGGGAACCAGAACAATGGTGAGTCAAACGTCAGATACGAGACAATAATTGATGAGTCAAATGTTTGATATGAGTCAATATTTGGTGAATCAAACATCACAAACTGGACAATGCATGGAGAGTCAAATGTCTTATATGGGTATGTGTGGTGAGTCAAACGTCAGATACGAGACAATAATTGATGAGTCAAATGTTTGATATGAGTCAATATTTGGTGAATCAAACATCACAAACTGGACAATGCATGGAGAGTCAAATGTCTTATATGGGTATGTGTGGTGAGTCAAACGTCAGATACGAGACAATAATTGATGAGTCAAATGTTTGATATGAGTCAATATTTGGTGAATCAAACATCACAAACTGGACAATGCATGGAGAGTCAAATGTCTTATATGGGTATGTGTGGTGAGTCAAACGCCAGATTAAAGTCGATATGTGGTGAGTAAGGCAGCAGATACTAGACAATGAACGGTAAGTCGAAACATCGGATACGAGGAAGGAAATTATGAGTCAAACATCATATGAAAGACGATATGTAGTGGGTCAAACGTCACACACAAGACATTATATGGCGATTCAAACGTCAAATACAAGACAATATATAGCGAGTCAAACGTCAAATACAATACAATATATAGTGAGTCAAACGTCAAATGCAAGACAATATATAGTGAGTCAAACGTCACATACAATACCATATATAGTGAGTCAACCGTCTCGTACAATACAATATAAAGTGAGTCAAACGTCACACGCAATACAATATATGGTGAGTCAACCGTATATACAAGAAAATATATGGTGAGTCAAACGGAACATACAAGACAATATATGGTGAGTCAAACGGAACATACAAGATAATTTATGGCAAGGCAAATGTCAGATAATAGACATTTTGGAGTCAAATACGATATCAAGCAAAACACTGAAATTTTCACGATGTTTTGTTTTATAAAGCACTATCTGAACACTGAGATCATGTAACGACTACATTCTGAGACCAAACAAAAGTCACCGGACAGTCTAATGCACCCGTCCTGTACCTATCACACTGACCGTCAATATTTGTATCTTCCAGGTAGGCTGGACTCGCCGTGTGAAATCTTAGACTGTACTAACAACGGTGTGTGTATGGAAGTAATGTCGACAAACGGAAGTGATTACCACGCGTCCTGTAAGTGTAGTGAGCGATACACCGGAAGTAGGTGTCAATATAATGTTGTCTTGAAATATCATTTAACGACATCTAATTCAGTCAAGCTAGAGATATTACGAGGACAATCAAACGACAGTAAACACAATTTCGTGGAGACGTCAGACAATGGATCAAGATTCACTGTTCTCTATTGGACTAACTTTTCCACGTTTGCTTGTACAATGGCCTCAAATGTAAAGTTCGGGCCAACGACAATCGGAAATTTGGAGCCAGACACGAGATATACGTTTTGTGCAGTTTCCGGTATTACCGAGTTCTGTCATCACTACAACATGGATGACGGTATACCTGTCAATTGTGTGTTTATTACAACATCCGGTCCTTCACACGATAACGGTAGTCCTGTTTATATAGCACCGCTGGTGTTGTGTTTACTCTTTGTTATAGGGTTGTGCATATTTTTGGCAGTGGTTATCAAAAGGAAGTATATACAGTGTTTATACAAATATCACCCTTGTTTGTCGTCAAAGGCAAAAAGTGATACGACCGTCCTGTATATGGGAGTAGGGAACAGACGGAAGGGAAATTACTCTAATAAACACTTGATGCCTCTACCTGAACGCCCCCCACCTGACATTGTGTTACATCCGCCGTCCAGTCCGGGTCGGCCGCAACATAAACTCGCACAATCCACGCGCGGCTACACGTCCACGTTTTCAGCCAAGAACGAATCGGCCATCCCACTGACCACGGTCATTGAGTATGGGCCTACCGGCGACGCGACCACTGCCTCTGAGAGCCGCTTCAGTGGAAATAATTTATGTTCTGCAGAAACTAGTCTTATCATCCACTCTGTTGACACCGAGAGCTAACTTACATTAAAGTGTAAAACCTGTTTTGTGACTTTTTCTTAAAGATAAACATATTGTATGTATATTACGATACAATTATAAAGGTAACACAAAACCTGCACATTTTCATAAAAACCTCAGACAATCAACACAGTGCAATCACGGTATGGTCAGCTAGCAAACAGAACGAAGTATAGGGGGGTAAACGTGCTGTTTAGTCCTATCAAGCCCAGTACATGTAGCTGCTAAAATAATCCCGGATGTGCTATATACATGACTTGTTTCTATAGGTCCTCCTCCTCATGCTCCACTCTATGTTTCAATACCCTAACAGTTCGCCCTACGAGTCCCACCCAAAGCACACCACCCTGTTGACTGATGGTGTGTGGGGCTGCGTCACAAGTGTACACTGTCCTCAGAAGGTGACCTCGTCCTCCGTCTATCTGAAGGACAGAGTGCGTCGCCCAGTCCGCAACGAGAATGTCACCCATCCTATCGAAACACACGTCGTACGGGTACCGCAGCAACTGATGGATATCGCTCCATCTGGTGGTGTCAGGGTAACGGAACCGGATACAGAGCTGTTTATCCATGACCTTGATGTGGGGATGTTTCCCTGTCCGCGATCCAGAGATATATTCGTCATAAACCACGCCATCATTATCGGCCACCGCAATATCTCCCGTCTGGGAACAACAGGCCAAATGGTGGGGCGTCACTGCGGACTGTGTACAGGGAAGGTCATTAGATGTCACTGTGTGGCCGTCCTTTGTGTACAGTCTGATGTCCCCCGCCACACCCACCACCACCGTACAATCTACCGTGACACAGAGAGACATGGGTGACAGGTCCGTTACGATCCTAGTCACTGGTTGGTCCAATATCTCACGGACGGTTCCGTCCTCCCAGCAACAGAACCAAACCCTCCCTGTCTCGGGACAGAGGGCCATGTGACGGACCTTAACTCCACAACAGACCTTTTCCTTAACGAGGCCTTGTTGGTCCACACGGTATATGACGCTATCACCCCAGTGTGACAACCAGGCCTGGTCCTGTTCGCTCTCGATTGCACGACAAGTGCTGGCGGTCGACAAGTGCTGAAACTGAGATAGAATCGTGCACGTTTTTGCACGTTGATACTCGTGATGAAGTCCATCTACAGTCAATGCACCTAACATATGTTGTAGTTGGGCGGTAACTAGGGGGCGAGGACAATAGTTCACCATCTTAATCTTCAATGGAGCGGATTGAAACATCTGCGCCAATTTCATTACTTCTGTATCCGTTCCTGACCTGATGACTTCCTCGCAAACGTCCACCTGCGGTATTTCGGATTCCCTCTCTTGGGATGTTTTGTAGTTTTCTATGAGTTTGGCGTTACTGCGTTCGATGTCTGTGCATACATTTACTAGCCTGTCGACTACAGCCTCAACAACACCTTTCATCGCCTCCCCCTGTCGTCTGATACTTGTTCTCAGGGACTCGAATGAGCTTCTGTTCTCTTGTAGTTTATCCTCTGTGTCGCCCGCGCTGTCATTGGACTGTCTACCTGTTGAGGAGAGTTCGTCTATGTATTGACGAATGATTTCTCGTTTTCTTGGTATGACGTCGCTGACGTCAGTGAGATTGTGACCTTGGTGTAGGTCATGCCGACACTCCTGACAAACTAACTCCTCGCCACAGTCCGAACAGACGTATAAAAACTGTACACCATGATGGTGGCTACATCCCGATTCTTCTGTAGAGGAAGACGCCATCTTCTTTATAGTTAAAAATTTCTAGGCAAACTTCAAATTTACCAGAAAGTTGATTAACACGACACATATTCAGCAGGTGACATATCGCTGTGTACCTATATGAGCGAGAGATCCAACACCCCATATATCTTTCTATTTAATTACACTGTAGTCTGCTACATTGTGTGAAATCCACCATACAGAACAGACACCGCCCATCTATTGTCTATATCGCGTGTTAGGTTATGTGGGTATACACAAACTTTAATTTACCATATAAACAAGTCCAAGGTGTTCATGCAGTCTGTCTGTACATTCTTCAATGTGTTTGTTCTAAGTTGTCAAAGATTACCAGCATGTTGACCTACACAAACATTAGATGTTGACACTTTATGTCGTTATGTTGGAACAGTGTGTTAATATGTTGAAACGGTATGTCGGCATGTTGACACTATATCTTGGTATGATGATATTGTATGTCTGTTTGTTGACACTATGTCGGTATGTTGACACTGTAAGTAAATATGATGACACCATCTGTCGGTGTGTTGACACTGTTTGTATATTGACACTGTATATCTGTATGTTGACACTGTATGTCTGTATGATGACACTATGTTGACACTGTATATCTGTATGTTGACACTGTATGTCTGTATGATGACACTGTATGTCTGTATGATGACACAGTATGTCGGTATGTTGACACTCTTTGTCAGTATATTCACACTATTTGTCAGTATGTTGACAATGCACGTCTGTTTGAAAGAACAAAAAACATTGATTGTTTTAAAAATTAATTAATATTTAGAAAAAAACATCTTCATAACGTTTATTGTTATATCATTAATATTGAGATTCAGTAATTCTACACATGTACAGTGTATATCCCTGTAAAATGAGATCGACTCACGAAGATTGACCGGGTTTGGAGATGTTTCCCATTGGAATAAAGGTACGAATGCGGAAACAAAAAAATCGTTGTTAGTTTTAATTGCTGAGCAAAAGTACGTAATATCGCGGATATAGAGTCCGTGGTGTTATCAAATAACATATATCTTAAGCCGGTGATTTGAAAAGCTTGACCACCCAATGAACACGTTATGCAAACCTCGTGACATTAGACAGAGAGCATTTTCAATATTCTAATTTAAGAAAACTAAGAACACAACAAAAGCTTATTGAATATGACTGGTACAGTGGAGAGAGAAATGAACCAGGCAAGACGTTCTTCGAAAAAAAAAAGAGGACCTGCAGAACAAATTATAATGTCAACATACACATTCATTACGGACAGTCCAAGGGAGGTAACCAGTAATTTAAAAGTCTGACTTACAACAACACTAGTATAAGTGCTGACAGGTGATATACGACCCAACAACATATATTTACAAACGTACTAATGCGCACCTCACAAATATACTTTCGAAATCCAAGGGTTCCACTCTCAACATGCTTATCTCCTCTACATTCTTGGACTACACAATGACAAAATATAGTCAGTCATGTAAATGCCTGGTCTCGGGCCTGTCATAATCTGACCAGTCGCTGTTCTCATACATGTCTTCTGAATGTTTTACAACACGGTTCACTTGACCTTGTATATAAGATCAAGGTCGTATCACCCTGGAGTCGTCGTGTACTGATGCCTGATTCCTTATATATGCCGTGGATGTATAAAAGAGGTCTGTGGAAACAGCAAAACTCTTGGATTTCTTATATGTCGCATGCACTCCTACACAACTTGCGCCGCTAAGAATAGAACAATTATCATACAGGCCTAATTTTCATATCGAAATATTTCATAGAGTATTTGTATCCTCTCCAGCTGTGCCAGTTAACACCGTCCGCGAGTGTTTCGTGTTCCCCCTCCAGGTACACCCCATTTGGATTGGCGTTATGGCAGTTGTTATACCAGAACGCTCCTTTAAAACTCTCGGCACAGTTCCCCGGCGCTCCATCATTGTCCAAGTCTGTGGTCGAGAACATCATCCCGTTATGTACTTCCATAGAGTCACCTGTAACAAAATTACCACTGTAAGTAAAAGGGCAATAACATCCCGTTATGTTCTTCTCTAGAGTCACTTACCCCGTTATGTACTTCTCAAGAGTCACCTACCCCGTTAGGTACTTCTCTAGAGTCACCTACCCCGTTATGTACTTCTCTAGAGTCACCTACCCTGTTATGTACTTCTCCAAAGTCACCTACCCCGTTATGTACTTCTCTAGAGTCACCTACCCCGTTATGTACTTCTCTAGAGTCACCTACCCCGTTAGGTACTTCTCTAGAGTTACCTATCCCGTTATGTACTTCTATAGAGTCACCTACCCCGTTATGTACAAATCTAGAGTCACCTATCCCGTTATGTACTTCTCTAGAGTCACCTACCCTGTTATGTACTTCTCTAGAGTCACCTACCCTGTTATGTACTTCTCTAGAGTCACCTGCCCCGTTATGTAATTCTCTAGAGTCACCTACCTCGTTATGTACCTCTATAGAGTCACCTACCCCGTTATGTTCTTCTCTAGAGTCACCTACCCCTTAATTTACTTCTCTAGAGTCACCTACCCCGTTATGTACTTCTCTAGAGTCACCTACCCCGTTATGTACTTCTCTAGAGTCACCTACCCCTTAATTTACTTCTCTAGAGTCACCTACCCCGTTGTGTACTTCTCTAGAGTCACCTACCCTGTTATGTACTTCTCTAGAGTCACCTACCCCGTTATGTACTTCTCAAGAGTCACCTACCCGTTATGTACTTCTCTAGAGTCACCTACCTCTAGAGTCACCTACCCGTTATGTACTTCTAATTCTCTAGAGTCACCTACCCCGTTATGTATGTTCTTCTCAAGTCACCTACCCCTTAATTTTCTTCTCTAGAGTCACCTACCCCGTTATGTACTTCTCTAGAGTCACCTACCTCATGATGTACTTCTCTAGAGTCACCTACCCCATTATGTACTTCTCTAGAGTCATCTATCCCGTTATGTACTTCTCTAGAGTCACCTACCCCGTTATGTTCTTCTCTAGAGTCACCTACCCCGTTATGTACTTCTCTAGAGTCACCTACCCCGTTATGTACTTCTCTAGAGTTACCTACCTCATGATGTACTTCTCTAGAGTCACCTACCCCATTATGTACTTCTCTAGAGTCATCTATCCCGTTATGTACTTCTCTAGAGTCACCTACCCCGTTATGTACTTCTCAAGAGTCACCTACCCGTTATGTACTTCTCTAGAGTCACCTACCCTGTTATGTACTTCTCTAGAGTCACCTATCCTGTTATGTACTTCTCTAGAGTCACCTCTTACAAAATTATCATTGTAAGTCTGGGGTCGAGAAAAAATAATCATATATAAGACAGTAAATGTCCATTCTTAACATTGCATTTAAGTTGAATTTAGTCATGTATGGTGTTTTTTAAGCTTTATATGAAATTTGTGTCTGATTTCGCGGACAGATGATCACGTGAGTGTCCGACTAACTGAAAATTTAACGATGCTTGATGAAGTCTGGCAAAAGTTTTATGTCACGACACATAGCGAATCATATACCAAATTCAGGACAGAAATAATTATCTGTGGATTCAGATCACTTTCTCAGCGAGTCATCTCGAACGGATCGGTAATAATCACAAATATTCCGGAATTGGGTCGTTTCCGTTATTATTCGTTTATTAGTAGGAGTGTAATGACTGACGAGACTGGTACCTGTGAGTGGAAGGTTTTATAATTCCAGCAATGGGGGCCGGTCTGTATTAAAATATCCTTAATGATAGAATTACTTTTAATGAAGTTATCATAGATGTGAAAAAAGTAAGTATAACAAGACATGTGGAATCGACAGTATTATCAATGTGTATATCAGAAGTCCAATTGATATTGTGTTACCTGCATTTGTTAATTTGTTCAAAATTATTTAAGACCCTTGCATTTTACCAGAAAGATGGAGCACCGGTATAATTATACATGTATCAAAAATAAATGTGACACTAGGATTTGGCTAATTACAGAACAATAACGTTTGTTTCCTGTTTAGGGTTTAGGAAAATTTTTCACGTCAGTAGTAAATAAAGATTGTATAAGCTATCTGACGATATCGTTCTGATCCGTAACGCTCAAACAGGGTTTGGAAAAGGGCACTCAACCATGGCCAATGTATATATTTAACGTGTATTTATATCGTTATATTTATCTTCTGGGAAAATGTATTATGCATTTATTGACTTTAGAAAAATTTTCGATTCAACAGGGCAAGCAGGCGAATTTTTTAAAAAAGAACATGCATTTTAATACGAAATCCTAGTGTGAGAATTTTTAGTTATCACAAATATTTCCCTCGAGTACAGCTAAAACATGTAGAAAATTATTCGTTATATCCTTTTTTTATCTTAACGATTTGTAAGATTTTCCGAGGGAGAAAAATGTTAAAACTGAATGACCTATGTCAGGGCAATTTTGGCGTTTTTGTAATGTCTGTTATTCTATATGGTAATAATAAAGTCTTAATGTCAGAAACACGAGAAGACTTGCAAAGAAACCTGAAAAAGTTCGAAGATTGCCACCAGAAGTAAAAATAGCTATGACAAAAATTGTAATTTTCTCTGTAAGAAAGAGTAAAAGATACAATAATATACAAGATTTGTTCTGATATTTAAGTGTTGATTTTAATTGCAACGGCAGTTTTGCCGCGCCAAAAAATCAATTGTCTGAGCAAGCTCGACAGACACTAGTGAATCGCAAAAAAAGAAATATTGAATTACTTTTATATTTAAAATTCAACTTACTAGATTCAGTAATCTCCCTTTTTTATTATATTAAAGTGATATAAAGGGTTATGAGAAACCAGTTTTATGATCTCCGGGAAACGGGAAGGTATCTTGAAGTAATTGATATCAAATTTATACTGATTAAATTCTGGTACTCACTGGATTTGAATGAAAACAAATTATCGAGTTGTATACAAGGATTGTTGTATTCTCTTCAGGAAATAGGCTAAACGGAATTTAAAGGGATTAACCATATATAAACACACTCTTTACTGATGGTTTAAAACGTCTGGATGTAACAGGAAACTAGGTTACCACACATTAATTATTTAGATCTGAAGTTACACAAAAATTAACAGACCAGCTTATACAGTCCTGATGAAATGAAACGAAAACTCGTCCAGAGGACATTTATATGCAAGTTTTTTGAAAATTCCGTTGGTGACGAAGCAATATTGCTACGGTTGAATAAGAACGCCACAAAATTTACCTGTAAACATCAAAACTGTTTCTCCGACCAGAAGTAAGAAGACGGAGGGGAATACAGGTGTAACGATGGTACAGGCGATAAAATCTATTTTTATTTGTGTGAAGTAATGATAATGTAACACAATAAAGATTGAAATAGGAGTGTTATTACAAAAATCTAAACGAACATCTGATGAAGGGAACGTTCACACATATTTTGATAAAAAGAGTCACTGATGAGTATAAGCTTACTTATCCACAAACTGACGTGTATGTTATACAGCAACTGGCTTTTCACCACTACTGCCTGTTCTTAATAAGACTATGTCGTTTACAGTTACAATATATAAACTTTTATTTTTATCATCATATACTAGCAACATTCATGTTTATCAATGTGACTGTCCGTCATGTATCAAAATTATGTAATATGTATGACCTTTTGTCACAGTGATCAATAAAGTACGTGGGTATCTGGAGTATTCCGTCATACAACCACAGTAGCTTACTATGTCCCTGGAGTATCCTGTCACACTCAGACACACTATCACAATAACTCACCAGCGTCCCTGGAGTATCCTGTCACACTCAGACACACTATCACAATAACTCACCAGCGTCCCCGGAGTATCCTGCCACACTAAGACACACTATCACAGTAACTTACCAGCGTCCCCTGAGTATCCTGTCACACTATGACACACTATCACAGTTACTTACCAGCGTCCCTGGAGAATCCTGCCATACTAAGACACATTATCAAAGTAACTTACCAGCGTCTCCGGAGAATCCTGCCACACTAAGACACAGTATCACAGTAACTTACCAGCGTCTCCGGAGTATCCTGTCACACTAAGACACATTATCAAAGTAACTTACCAGCGTCCCCGGAGTATCCTGTCACACTAAGACACACTATCACAGTAACTTACCAGCGTCCCCGGAGTATCCTGTCACATTGAGACACACTATCACAGTAACTTACCAGCGTCCCATGAGTATCATGTCACACTATGACACACTATCACAGTTACTTACCAGCGTCCCATGAGTACCATGTCACACTATGACACACTATCACCGTTACTTACCAGCGTCCCATGAGTATCATGTCAAACTAAGACACACTATCACAGTAACTTACCAGCGTCCCCGTAGTATCCTGTTACACTAAGACACACTATCACAGTAACTTACCAGCGTCCCCGGAGAATCCTGCCACACTAAGACGGTATCTAGAGGCTGAGTTGGCTATTCGGAACAGTTTGTATTTGGCGTAGCGCCTTTCTCCATCGAAATCTTCCATATCTATCCGTAACTCGTACCATCCCTGAGACACGACGGCGTATAAGAACTCATTCCCTGTAAATGTAATGGTATACCATATAGATATATAGATAATGGTATATCCTTTTAGTACATCTATAATTATGATCTCCCTTATTACCTCCCCTGATCCCCGTATACCAGTATTATCTCCCCTGAACTTAACCCTGTGTACCAGCTGGTTTAACAGAATTACTGCCATAACTCATATCCCCGTACATCAGCATTACTTCTGAACAAAAATATTCCATCACTTTTACCAACTTAACCTTCCTTGTCCTCATCCCTATATACCAGTATAACCTCCTCTGATCTCTTCCTTGCATACCGAAAGTCTGTCTGTATCTCTCGTCCCCATATATCAGTGTTACCTCCCCTGATCGCATTTCCGATACAGACAGTCTCTCCCTAGTAGTCGTCCTCATATCAACATCCCCAGATCTCATCCCCGTATACCGACAGTCTCTCCCTAGTTCTCGTCCCCATATATCAGTGTTACCTCCCCTGATCGCATTTCCGTAAACCGACAGCCTCTCCCTAGTTCTCGTCAGTGAATGCTGACAGTGGTCACTGCACACTGGTCAGGAGGTTGCTTTACAGAGTGCTATTGTAATACAGGTAGTTATCAATACACGTGGAAATGTATAGACTTACCCATCCAGAACTCTTTCTGAGGATCGCCAAATCCAAACATATACTCCTGCCATTTTCTCTTGAACTGTTCGGAGCCATCCATACGTCGCTGGAATGTCTACAATTCACCATAGGTAATTATAGCACTTATAAAGATTCGAGTCTGGGACAACGTCCCTGCTGGAGAGATCAACGAGGCATTGTATTTGGATCAGATATTGGTCACCTGAAACAACTGGACTTCGACATAGAAAGAAAAAATGTCCTAAAATAACTTTTTGAAAAAGAAATGATATGAAACCATTAATTTACATTTGACTTCTTATGACTTACCAACCAACCACCGCCATCTGTTGTCATGTCACAGTGCACCGACAATCCCTGTCGCAGACCGGACGGATAGACAGTATATATTCCGTCCGACGTCTGACCCGACTCGTAAACGTCATAGCAATCACGTGGTAGCTGTTTCGGTGCTGATAATTCTATGGAAAGATAGAGAAAATGAAGATATGGATACAACAGTAAAACGGAAGTACAAATACGGAAAGGGGTGTTTCAGAGTCATGCACACAGGTTATAAAATTGAACACAGAGTTCGCGTGTCACTTTCGAACTCGAATGTTGGATTGTGGTTTTCTTAATTCTGGAATACTTTAAGAGTTTAGTGTCTTTTTTGCAGTGTTAAAATTTCAACAAACATACATTACAACTACATCGTATTTTCTTGGTATGTGTGGCACACTATTGTGGGATAAATGTCACGTGATGACTCGTTATTCTTTTGTAACCGCAGAATACACGGCGAAATATCAAATCCTATCAACTTCCGGTTTCTAAGGTCAATTTGAGGTTATGACATGTTATAACTTAAAGCCCTTGAACCTATAATCTTTTGGTGTACTTGTAGACATGTGACGTGACCCGTAGTAATACAGTCCTGTTAGTCCGCACTGGTGAATGCCGACATTTCCAATCTCTACCAACTGATTGGAAATTAACGGACGGTAACTCTGGACAGACTTGCCTGTTTCTACATGTCAAACGTGGTCAAGCCCGAAATGGAAATTAACTTTGTTTAAAATATTAATGAAAAAAACTTTTGTTTCGAATAAATTCCATTTTATTAGGAACACAAGAAACCTCGTCTTACAACGATGTGGGTCGGTTATGTAAATGAGATGGTAATTAAAAGCTATGAACTCCTTGTAAAACCGTGATGTTCATGAAGCGTCAAAAATCGTCATGTGGAGCAGTTCTACTGCCACCAATAAATCTGATGGTGTAAATAGGGAAATTGATCAATGGTGTCTAAATCTTGTTATGGAAGTCTACAACCGACCTGAAATCTTGTGGTGAAAACATGGAAAATTAATCACTCTTTAATGTGACTTTGTACTAATTGAGTTAAACGTCCAATTGACGCAGTCTTCGGTTTTCTTGACCTAAAGGGGAACTGACGTAACAACATAAACACTGCGAAAAGTCTGACGTAATGACTACATCACAAGGGTTGTTTTGCTGTGTGATGATAAAACCACAAATATCAATTACCACCAGTTTGTCTGTTCGCCGATAACTATCGGTCAGTGAGACCATGTGACATCTCAATTGTTTACGAATTGACACAATACTGGACGGGTGGGTTCACAGACAAATATTGACAGTGTTAGTCTGTAGATGGTGAGCCCCAGGGTTATTTACATACGAGGCAATATTCAGATAGTGACACGTTTCTTCAGTATTTGTACATTTTCTGTACCTTGAACGCTACTTGTGCGTGATAAACACCTATTCTTTGTTTAACTGGCGATGTTTCTGGTCAATTAATGATTTCAATGACTTTTAGATATTGTCGATATACAGATAAATTCTTCCAACATGACTTACACATGCATTGCTATCGTTCCCAAACCACTCCCGTATAGAGACCAGGACCCAGGATCAGGAAACAGAAGTCCTAGTTTGGACTTAACTATCAGTTTTGACTTAAGTCTGAAAACAGATTTAGATTAGGGATCACGCAAAAAAACTTAAGTCTTATATCTTAACTTCTGTTCTAAATTCTTAGACAGCTACAGTGGAGGAGATATTTTATTATAGCCAATGGTGGAGGCCATATTTTATCATAGCCAATGATGGAGGCTATATTTTATTATAGTCAATGGTGGAGGCCATTTTTTATCATAGCCAATGATGGAGGCCCTGTTTTATTATAGCCAATGGTGGAGGCCATTTTTTATCATAGCCAATGATGGAGGCCCTGTTTTATTATAGCCAATGGTGGAGGCTATATTTTATTATAGCCAATGGTGGAGGCCATATTTTGTCATAGTCAATGGTGGGGGCAATATTTTATCATAGCCAATGGTGAAGGCCATATTTTATTATAGCCAATGGTGAAGGCCATATTTTATTCTTACCAATGATGGAGACCATATTTTATTATAGCCAATGATGGAGACCATATTTTATTATAGCCAATGGTGAAGGCCATATCTTATTATAACCAATGGTGGAGGATATATTTTATTATAACCAATGGTGAAGGCCATATTTTATTATAACCAATGGTGGAGGCCATATTTTGTCATAGTCAATGGTGGAGGCCATATTTTGTCATAGTCAATGGTGGAGGCCATATTTTATTATAGCCAATGGTGAAGGCCATATCTTATTATAGCCAATGGTGGAGGCCACATTTTATTATAGCCAATGATGGAGGCCACATTTTATTATAGCCAATGATGGAGGCCATATTTTATTATAGTCAATGGTGGAGGCCATATTTTATTATAGCCAATGGTGAAGGCCACATTTTATTATAGCCAATGATGGAGGCCACATTTTATTATAGCCAATGATGGAGGCCATATTTTATTATAGTCAATGGTGGAGGCCATATTTTATTATAGTCAATGGTGGAGGCCATATTTTATTATAGTCAATGGTCGAGGCCATATTTTATTATAGCCAATGATGGAGGCCATATTATGTTATAGCCAATGGTGGAGGCCATATTTTAATATAGTCAATGATGGAGGCCATATTTTATTATAGTCAATGGTCGAGGCCATATTTTAATATAGTCAATGATGGAGGCCATATCTTATCAAAGCCAATGGTGGAGGCCATATTTTATTATAACCAATGGTGGAGGCCATATTTTATTATAACCAATGGTGGAGGCCATATTTTATTATAGCCAATGATGGAGGCCATATTTTATTATAGCCAATGATGGAGGCCATATTTTATTATAGCCAATGATGGAGGCCATATTTTATTATAGTCAATGATGGAGGCCATATTTTATTATAGGCAATGATGGAGGCCATATTTTATTATAGCCAATGATGGAGGCCATATTTTATTATGGTCAGTGGTGAAGGCCTTATTATATTATAACCAATGGTGGAGGCCATATTTTATTATAACCAATGATGGAGGCCATATTTTATTATAGCCAATGGTGAAGGCCATATTTTATTATAGCCAATGATGGAGGCCATATTTTATTATAGCCAATGATGGAGGCCATATTTTATTATAGCCAATGGTGGAGGCCATATTTTATTATAGCCAATGATGGAGGCCATATTTTATTATAGCCAATGATGGAGGCCATGTTTTATTATAGCCAATGGTGGAGGCCATTTTTTATCATAGCCAATGATGGAGGCCATGTTTTATTATAGCCAATGGTGGAGGCCTTTTTTTATCATAGCCAATGATGGAGGCCATATTTTATTATAGCCAATGATGGAGGCCATGTTTTATTATAGCCAATGATGGAGGCCATTTTTTATCATAGCCAATGATGGAGGCCATATTTTATTATAGTCAATGGTGGAGGCCATTTTTTATCATAGCCAATGATGGAGGCCATGTTTTATTATAGCCAATGGTGGAGGCCGTTTTTTATCATAGCCAATGATGGAGGCCATGTTTTATTATAGCCAATGGTGGAGGCCATTTTTTATCATAGCCAATGATGGAGGCCATATTTTATTATAGCCAATGATGGAGGCCATGTTTTATTATAGCCAATGATGGAGGCCATTTTTTATCATAGCCAATGATGGAGGCCATATTTTATTATAGCCAATGATGGAGGCCATATTTTATTATAGTCTATGGTGGAGGCCATTTTTTATCATAGCCAATGATGGAGGCCATGTTTTATTATAGCCAATGGTGGAGGCCGTTTTTTATCATAGCCAATGATGGAGGCCATGTTTTATTATAGCCAATGGTGGAGGCCATTTTTTATCATAGCCAATGATGGAGGCCATATTTTATCATAGCCAATGATGGAGGCCATGTTTTATTATAGCCAATGATGGAGGCCATTTTTTATCATAGCCAATGATGGAGGCCATATTTTATTATAGTCAATGGTGGAGGCCATTTTTTATCATAGCCAATGATGGAGGCCATGTTTTATTATAGCCAATGGTGGAGGCCGTTTTTTATCATAGCCAATGATGGAGGCCATGTTTTATTATAGCCAATGGCGGAGGCCATTTTTTATCATAGCCAATGATGGAGGCCATATTTTATTATAGCCAATGATGGAGGCCATGTTTTATTATAGCCAATGATGGAGGCCATTTTTTATCATAGCCAATGATGGAGGCCATATTTTATTATAGCCAATGATGGAGGCCATATTTTATTATAGTCTATGGTGGAGGCCATTTTTTATCATAGCCAATGATGGAGGCCATGTTTTATTATAGCCAATGGTGGAGGCCGTTTTTTATCATAGCCAATGATGGAGGCCATGTTTTATTATAGCCAATGGTGGAGGCCATTTTTTATCATAGCCAATGATGGAGGCCATTTTTTATCATAGCCAATGATGGAGGCCATGTTTTATTATAGCCAATGATGGAGGCCATTTTTTATCATAGCCAATGATGGAGGCCATATTTTATTATAGCCAATGGTAGAGGCCATTTTTTATCATAGGCAATGATGGAGGCCATGTTTTATTATAGTCAATGTTGGAATCCGTATTTTATTAAAGCTAAAGGTGGAGGCCAGTTTTTATGTAAAAGGGAAGCTAATGAGAAAGCAACATTTGTCGCAAAACTCGTGTCCTCGTTTATTGTGTTTCCGTAAGAACGTCATTAAACTTTGTGTAATTGTTGACTGTGTTTCTGTAAGACCGTCATTAAAACTTGTGTTACTGTTAATTATGTTCCGGCAGGTGGTAACTTTCTAATCAGTTTCCACTTCATTTCCGATATCCTATCAACACGAGAAAGCGTTCCCGAGCAGGATGATGGGGACACATCCCGGTTTGTATCGAAATTATGTTTACCGACTTCCTTCTTAAATCAGTCAGACTATCGTTTACACAGAAGGTGGATCTCACCACTTAACATCCAATGATTTTCTATGCATGTTCAGTATAACAGATTCTCAGCTCTATGAGATCATACATGTAGCTTGCAAAAATATCCGTTTTGTTACACTTAAGACAGCCTCGTTCAAGTATCATTTTGTTAAAAAGTGATCTTAACAAATCGAATCTTTGATGTTTAGCGAAATACGTTTACCGCATGTCTACAAACGCTCATCAGTATTTCATTGAAGTTTCTTGACGTTTCGCTAAGTCATTAGTCGAAGATTGCCGACAGATAGGATTAGTAGGAAACGATAGATAGAATAATAACGAAGACAAAAAATGCATGTCAGGATTTACCTTATCAACAGGTGTAATCTAATTTTATCATTTATCTATAATATGTTCACACCAGCTTGTCCTAATTTCCTGGGAACACGTTTCTGAGAAGTGATGCAACAGAACTCATTATTATTGCCATGCCTCCAATTGGATTCGAACGCGAGACCTCTGGTTTACTAGTTTAAAAATAGTATCGCGTGTCAATAGCTGGAACGAAAGTGCGACCCTATGAACAACTCTTCTTGGAATAGGTCAGTGACTTATCCTGAACAGAGCAACAACTCTGTTTCATAGACCACATACATGCTTCAACGCTCGCTAGAATGTCCCTGTGGTAGGACTATATGTCATGTCTTTAGTATCGTGTTTGATACAAATGGAAACATACTACTGGTATTTAAACCTCTTCGTGTTTTGTGACCATGTGTAGTCTAGTTCATCGTCAGGTCGGCTGTAGACAAACACCGTTACGATATTGCTCGTGTCTGATGGACAAAAGGGATTTGTCTAATTTGAACGTTAAAAGAGAAGTCTACTGTTTCCTGCGGTATGAAGTTGCTTGCGTACAGATATGATAGCAAACATTTTATTTGACAACAAAAGGCACCATAGGAACGATTTAAACCCCGATAAAGTGATTGGTGCGTGATTACATGGCACAGTACGTAGGTGTGTGTGAAAGTATTGATAATTAACATACCGTATCTGGAGTGCCCTACCTGTGTGAGTGTACCTGTATGTGTACGTACCCGTGAATAGGTTGTTAAAAACATCAATAAATACATTTGAATGTCCTAGGCATATTTAGCTTTTCACCAGTTCGTCCAGGACAACGCCCAAGAGTTGTCGTGCGAGTATAAAATAAGTTATTAAGAGGATGAGTTGTTTGTGAATCGGTTTTACAAGCCAATACTCATAATTACCAGGCAATGCGAGTACGAGTTAGCAGATACATATATGTGTCCTTTTGTCCGTCAGTCATCCAAATACAAGCCCACCAACAATTCAGTTTTTAAGCTAAATACTCCTTGCGTTATATGTTTCGCCGTCCGTCGTCCGTCATTTCGTCTGTCTTTCTGAATATCGAACTGTTACCTATCACTTACGTGTCAGCTTGTGTTACCGAAACATGCATATGTGTAGTATTGTATTCACTATTTCTATGTTTTCAAATGCTGAACTATTTAATGTCCGTCCGTCCGACCAGGCGTCGTAGCTGTTATGAACTTGTACATTACCTTCAGAGTGAACGGGTGGTGACGGTTGATGTTGAGCAGGCCTGTCCAGTATTGAAACTAGTCTCTGAAGTTCTTTGACCATTTCTGACGTAGGGAACCACACCGCTGCTCCTAGTGCTGCTGCTCCGGCCAGCATGGTCAACAACGTGACCAGGTTAGAGTGATGACCAGTGGGGGCGGGGGGTTTGGCAGCCATCTTTGCTTCAGAATCACTTCCTGATTCCACCACAACTTTCGACTCGCCCATGCGTGCTTATCAGTGAAGTCAACGTAGTAATATATAACACGCCACACTGTACAGGTATCTTTCAGGTAAGAAATGTATTTGACACACCCTATCTCCCGCCACGGCCTTGTGGACTACCGTCAAATGTATTTATATACCTGGATTAAAATGCCACGTCAGAATGCTTGATCTAACAAAAGTTTAAATATCAGCCTTTATGTACAGCACACGTGGACAAGTAGCACACACGATAGCAATTACACATTTAAAGATAACTAATTGAGTGGTGCTGGAGGCACTAAACCATAACAAAATGGTCAACAATTTGATAGGATTTGTTACGGTGCCTGGACTTACTGGACGGTGTGGAAATGGTCACTACTGGCTACTCAAACCACAGGGTAGACAGTGTGATAACCAGGAAACGTATTCTAATAATTATGATTGTGTGCTTATTATCATGTCTTTACTACGCAATCCCCATGGTACCACAGACTTACGGGGTACCATATGGTGATAAGGTAATGCAAAGTTACGGGGAGGTATACAATAGAATTACGGGGTACTATATGGTAATAAGGTACTGTGAAGTTACGGGGAAGTGTAAATAGAATTACGGGGCACTATATGGTAATAGGGTACTGTAAAGTTACGGGGAAATGTAAATAGAATTACGGGGTACTATATGGTAATAGGGTAATGTAAAGTTACGGGGAAGTGTGCAATAGAATTACGGGGTACTATATGGTAATAAGGTAATGTAAAGTTACGGGGAAGTGTGCAATAGAATTACGGGGTACTATATGGTAATAAGGTAATGTAAAGTTACGGGGAAGTGTGCAATAGAATTACGGGGTACTATATGGTAATAAGGTAATGTAAAGTTACGGGGAAGTGTGCAATAGAATTACGGGGTACTATATGGTAATAAGGTAATGTAAAGTTACGGGGAAGTGTGCAATAGAATTACGGGGTACTATATGGTTATAAGGTAATGTAAAGTTACGGGGAAATGTAAATAGAATTACGGGGTACTATATGGTAATAATAGAATTACGGGGTACTATATGGTAATAAGGTACTGTAAAGTTACGGGGAAGTGTGCAATAGAATTACGGGGTACTATATGGTAATAAGGTAATGTAAAGTTACGGGGAAGTGTGCAATAGAATTACGGGGTACTATATGGTAATAAGGTAATGTAAAGTTACGGGGAAGTGTGCAATAGAATTACGGGGTACTATATGGTAATAAGGTAATGTAAAGTTACGGGGAAGTGTGCAATAGAATTACGGGGTACTATATGGTAATAAGGTAATGTAAAGTTACGGGGAAGTGTAAATAGAATTACGGGGTACTATATGGTAATAAGGTACTGTAAAGTTACGGGGAAGTGTAAATAGAATTACGGGGTACTATATGGTAATAAGGTACTGTAAAGTTACGGGGAAGTGTGCAATACGGGGTAAAGTTAGTGTAAATAGAATTACGGGGCACTATATGGTAATAAGGTAATGTAAAGTTACGGGGAAGTGTGCAATAGAATTACGGGGTACTATATGGTAATAAGGTAATGTAAAGTTACGGGGAAATGTAAATAGAATTACGGGGTACTATATGGTAATAAGGTAATGTAAAGTTACGGGGAAGTGTGCAATAGAATTACGGGGTACTATATGGTTATAAGGTAATGTAAAGTTACGGGGAAGTGTAAATAGAATTACGGGGTACTATATGGTAATAAGGTAATGTAAAGTTACGGGGAAGTGTAAATAGAATTACGGGACACTATATGGTAATAAGGTACTGTAAAGTTACGGGGAAGTGTAAATAGAATTACGGGGCACTATATGGTAATAAGGTACTGTAAAGTTACGGGGAAGTGTAAATAGAATTACGGGGCACTATATGGTAATAAGGTACTGTAAAGTTACGGGGAAGTGTGCAATAGAATTACGAAATATTGCATGATATCGATGTGCTGTAAAGTTACAGAGGAGTATAGACCAGAATTATTGGGGGAGTGTACAGAATAATTACATATTAGTGTTTGGTAGAATTAAAGGATAGAGTACAGTAGAGTTACATGGTAGTGTATAGAAGAATTACATGGCAATGTACAGTTGAATTACAGGGCAGTGTACAGTTGAATTACAGGGCAGTGTACAGTTGAATTACAGGGCAATGTACAGTTGAATTACAGGGCAGTGTACAGTTGAATTACAGGGCAATGTACAGTTGAATTACAGGGCAGCGTACAGTTGAATTACAGGGCAGTGTACAATTGAAATACAGGGCAGTGTACAGTTGAATTACAGGGAAATGTACAGTAGAAATACAGGGTAGAGTACATAAGAATTACAGGACATTGTACTGTTGAATTACATGGTAGTGTATATCTAGTGTACTTTATTAGTCTAGGATGTTGTAAAATTACACTGCTTACACTATAATTACACTTCCTAAAAATGACCGCGGAAAAAAATTAAAATAAAATGTATATGCAGACCAATGTATACTAAAAATCCTAAACTAGTCAAATACACGCGATGGACAAAAAAGTCGCCTGGAAAGGTGACATTCGATGTCGAAATAGTTTATGCATCGACTCGTGCATTTCATCTCATCCATTATTATAGAAAACCATAGTTACTATAGTAGTTCATGGATTCTGTATAATGTATTAAGGAGCTTCACTTAAAATTGGTTTGTTTTGTGTAACGTCTTATCGAGAACGCAATTTCTTGATGTATTTTAAGAGGCGTGTTAAGAATCAATGGACTGGAGATAGTTTAAAACATGTTTTAGATAATTATCCTGTTGTTAACAAAATTTATTTACAATGGGTTAATTTCGTGGGCCATTGACTAGTTCGTGAAAATTAGATCCGTGAACATTGGGAACAAGTTTCTACTGGAAATTATAGAGAAAACCCGAACAGATAAGTGGGATACCACAAGGACATATTACAGGTCAACTGAAAAAAACACTGATATCAGTTTACATATGAGTAAATGAGTAAACTGAATTAATATGGTAAGTTCTTGGCATCGTTTCATTAAGACAACTAATTAAGCAACTGGTTAGGACAAGTACGGACGCTATGAACAGATCTAAATTCAACTATCACGTGTTAAAGAGATCGTAATTCTACACCAAAAGTCATATTCACGAAGATTGTATGTCCTCTTACAGCCACATCGTGAATTTTTGGAGATTTTTTATCATTTTATTTTTTTCCGTCAGAAAATGTGGAAATTTTGACCCCTCGAAAATCATGGACTATGCAGTATATTTTTGTGGCGAAGCATTCTCAATCTATGAAAAAGTGGATGTCATACACAAGATGATTTTATTATCTGGCTCAAATGACAACAATCTTATCTCTCTTTGAACAAATGTCTATTGATGAATGGTTGTACTTTCCGTTGTAGACATCGCCCTCTCTCTCATAAACTGTCGGTCATCATCGAAGTAAAGAAAGTCACCATCCCCTGCCTTTCAAACACTATTAACATCAAACATCAAAACAAACTATGATTTAGGATCGACATTTCTGGCTTTCAACTTAACAATGGGTGCGTTTAAGACCTGGTTGACATTCCACAGGGTTTTCATCCTCGAAAGGATTAAAGTCTTGCAAAATATATTCGCTTGGCATAGCCATACTTATTTTTTAATGTTACAAAGAATGATTAGTTTTTCCATATAGTCTTATTTTACAAAGCAGCCATGAAAAGAATACACCGACCACCAAATAATTTCTTGTTCAATCAAAGAAATCTATTACAGAGATGCTGAATATCCCATTCTTCTAGTACAGGTATCGTCCTGACCAAACCAGTGTATTACAGCGAGGAAGAACTCGTCACTGGAAAACTTAAATAATGTAACACTTCAAGACAAAACATGATACTATTTCACTTCTATTCTTCTTCAAACTTCCTAGAACCCTAAATAACATCCGGGTACTTTGAATACCAGTAGTTGCTGATGAAATTGTTGGCGATACATCATTGTACTGACCGATAACACTTTCCTGAAAAGTCCTGATGGACACTGACTGTACCATTCTGGGCTTGAAAACCCTAAAATCTAAAGTGGTGTAGACATGGACGGTGTTTCGCATTTCTTAAACTCAGATACAAGTCGACTAAAACTGGATCTTTTGCACTTGCCTAGACTCCATCGCCTTTTTCTTTTCCCTTTGAGAATCCCCATATCAGTTTCATGATTAGGAAACACAAACATCATCCAAATTATGTTGTTAAAAGTCTAACAACACAGAACTGGTATATATCCTGTTAACCTGTCTCACACTCAAAATAACCAAGAACAAAATTATGTTATTAAAGTAGGACGGCAGATTGCATGTCAGTAATTAAATGATTATAAGATTGGAATTGATTGCTGATTACACTAGCCCCTAACAATTAGGATAAGTCTTTTGAAATAAAGATATTGACAAAAAATGCAAGAAATTTACATTTGGAGTTAAACCGAACTAATAATTACGGCTTTCTAGAATGCTATTTTATGTAATGAAATGCACAATTGAATTCATAAATCATTTCAATATCGCATGACGTTCCTGCCTTGTTTTGAAAAATGTATCATATTCGTTTGTAAGAAGTGTAAAATAGGACCACTCCCCTTTCTAAGCGAAGTTTCCTTTTTGCTTTCAAATCATAGCGGAAGTTCAAGCAACACCAGTGGTTTCCGTAACAGAAAGTAATGTGTTGCTAGATTTTCCACCGTGATAAAGGATTATGAAAATCCATCAGGTTTTAACCAATCGGGATGAGAGCACATCTGATTTCCTGTCCTACTTCTTTCCGGTTTGAGAAATGCTAAAGATTTCCGATTTGGTTTTGTAGTATCGAAACCACAGCTGCTAACTGGACATCATATTGACCAGAACTGCTAACTGGACATCATATTGACCACAACTGCTAAATGAACATCTTATTGACCAAAACTGCTATTTGGACATCTTACTGACCACAGCTGCTAAATGTAAA